ATAGGGTATGTTTTATATGTATGCAAACGTTTCAATTACGTGAAAAATATTTTTTTCTGTAAATTTTCATATCCAATTCAATTAAAAAACATGTACTACATACATACATATATTTTTCTCTGCACGATTCATTTCGTTTGTTGTTTAGTCTGTAACTACTAAACTACTGTAGTGTACTATCGTAAAGTTAATTCAGCCGTTTTGTTTTCGTATTGTACCGAACTGTTGAAGTAATAAACGAAACGAAATAGTAACGTACAATATAGTATATTTTCATACACTGCCTAAAACTAACTGTTATCGCCACTACTAAAAAATATATAAATACTTAGACAGTCAGGCGGCTCTTATGGTACTTGACTCTGTCACTATTAATTCGGAAACAGTTGCCAACTGCCGCAAATCACTTAATGTGATGGCAGAGAAGTTCGCTTTGCACCTGGTATGGGTACCGAGACCCAGTGAAATACCAGGAAATGAGAAGGCAGACGAGCTTCATCAACCTGGAAGAGGATGGGTATGGCCCTCGCAACCTGCAAGCTCTTATTAAGGGAACACTTCCTTGAAGGAGCGGCCACCAGATGGGAGTGCACTGAAAACTGTAATTCAACGAAACTTACATGGCCGAAATGGAATATACAGAGATCGAGAGAAATTCTCGCCCTCAATAAAGGCGATATGTCACTGCCATTGGCCTGTTCACAGGACATATCCTGATAGGAAGGCATGCGGAACGCCTCGTAGTTAGTCACAACGACTACTGCAGGACCTGGCATGACGAAGAAGAGCCTGAATCAATAAGGCACTTACTCTGCGATTGCCCTGCACTAGGCAGGAAAGACAGAAATTACTAGATATAGACTTTCTAGACGATCTAAGCGCAACTGCTAACTTTCGAATACAGCAGTTGCTAGGTTCGTAGACTCCACCAGTTGGTTTAAGGAGTAGGGGTTTTTGGATCCATGTGCTTTCATAATGGGCCCTGATGGGCCTTCTGGGACTGGCATCATGTCAACTTAACCTTTCCTAACCTATCTATGCCAGGACTATTTCTGATTGAAGTTGTTTTTTTTCAAATAATGTTGGAAAAATTTCTATGTATCGATGGTCTTCTGCAATAAGGGCACAACTCAAAATTTCATGTTTTTGAGTTATATAGCGTATTAGGTTTATAAATAACCATATTTTTCTGTGGCAAATCGACATATGCTTTGTTATTACAAATCCGGCAGGGGCGCAGTTTTTCCATTTGTCACAAAACCGAAGTAGGCAAGCGTTACTACTGAAAAGTGGCGCAAGTGTCACATTTATCGTGAACATTGTCATAAGTCAGAAACTGTCGATAGGTTAGTTTTGCTTTTATGTGAAATAACGACACGTTTCCTATTTTGCCGTTGTTCATTACATAGATTCAAGAAGACACTTAGTTATTTTTTTTTAGGAAATAACGACATTTTTCGTTATGTGCCGTTGTTCGGCAATTCCCGGGGGTTTTTATTTTTAACTACTTAGGAGTTGCTACTTATTTCGTATTTGTTCAGTTCAACCCTTACTAAGTCTTTAGATAAGTCACAATTTGAAATATCTAAAATATTCTCTACAGAATGGCTGCAAATAGTCCGGAACAATTACGTTAATCTTTAACACAAAATCTTTAATTGGCCATACTAAAAAATATAACATTTTGAGTTGTGTCGTTATGTCAGGGGCCCGTCGATATGTTGATAAATATTGAATTTTAATAGACTGCTTAAATCTATGTCAGGAGATTGCTCGAAGCGGGAAATAGTACTGTCAAATGTAAACGACAAGTGAAAAGATGCGTTGTGAACGGTTGCAATTTATTTAATATCCCCTCGGTAGCATGAGGCAATTACGTTATGTTTCAAATCCATAACACCGTAAAGAGATATTGTAATTCAAGTTGTAATTTTATTCTCAATAGAAATGTTCTAACAAAACTCGTTTGTATATTGCATTCCCCTTAAAATTTAAAGCCATTCCCCGATTCCACTAAAAAAATCAAATTCCACCAAAACCGGGGATGGCATCACTTGCCGTAGGCATCGAAGTCAAAATTGCATAGTTTCCTCAAAAATCGCCCCTTCTGTGGGATAATTTGCCAGATTTGTTTCATTAGTTCATACGAATATGAAATTCAGGCATGTCAAAACCGGACCGGACAGTCCGCCTTATTTTTATTTTTTTGAACGCACGTATTTTATTGCGATCTGTTTTTTTTTTACATTAAGCAATATTTGAAACTTAAATATTAAATAAGAAAATAATCATGTATAGAGTACACCCAGTGGCGCAATCATATTCTATTCGCAGGTATTCAATATTACTAGAGCTCTAATATTGATTTCTTTTTAAGCCGCTGGAATGACATTGTATGACAAGTGAGTGTAGAAATAAGAGAATTTGCGTGATTATGAATTTTTTGTCGGTGCGCCAAGGTGTGATTTTAATTTCGTAAGCAACAGTAGGGGTTTTAAGGTCACGGTGTATTTGGTTGGGCATAGAGCGGAGCGTTCATAATCACTCTAGGGGTTTTGATTGGAATCTTTGGATATATTGGAGGTTGCTGCAGAACCCCATAATAATTGTACTTCGTACGTCTATACTGGTTTCAAAACAGATGAATAGAGTAAGAGCTTACTCTCGAGTGAGGCTTGAGACTTCGGATTCAGTTACCAGTGTAAATTTCTGATCTTCATTCCGTGTGCTTGGCGTTTAGTAAAGATATGAGTTTTCCACGTAAGTATGCTGTCGAGGTGCATGCCTAAGTATTTTGTCGCATCACGCTCTGGAATATCCACGTTATTGAGTTTTACGGGCGGGAAGGTTTTACTTTTAAGGGTGAACGTAACCTGGACATACTTTTCTTCATTTGGCTTAATTCGAGACTCTTTCAGCCATTGTGTTATCTTGTTTAGGTCATTTTGGGCTCGTGCCCATTGCGAGAATTGTAGTATCCTTTGCAAAAGTGACAACAATTGATCCTTCGGATGCTGGTAAATCATATGTGTATAAGAGGTAAAGGATGGGACCCATCACACTGCCTTGAAGTACACCAGCTGAACTTTCGTAGAGTTCAGACTGCTCCTCGCCTTGCTTAACAAAGAATAATCGATTTTTGAGATAGGACTCGATAAAGATATAATAGTTTATCGGGAGGGTTTGTAAAGTAAGCCGTCATGCCATACTCGTTTGAAAGCTTGAGATATATCGAGGAATGCAGCTGTACAATACTTTTTGTGTGAATGCAGTTCAGAAGCCTGTGAACTTGTTCGATTGTGCTGTGCTTTTTCCTGAAACCGAATTGGAGATTACGGATAATCTGTCTTTGTTCTATTACTGGCATCAATCTTTCAAGAAAGAGTCTCCAGAATTTTAGAAGCGATGGGTAGCAAACTGATTGGGAAATATGACTCAACTTTGTCTGCTCTTTTTCCTGGTTCAGGAAAAGTGATCGGACACATTGTGGTAGACCTGCCACTTTTTGAACATCTACCACACAAGATCTGAAATATATCACATATTCGCGTTTTTGAGTAGTTTTATTTTTGATCGACATATACTACGTTTATACGCATGCATAAGTCGCTTTAATTCATTTCGCCGCGATTCAAAACATATGTATAAACTGAATTTCAATTCGCTTTGAAAGAGCAAAGTGTTTTGGCTCACTCCATTTCAAATCGGTAGTTTATTTCTCCAGACAGTTAGAAAGAGTGTATAAACACCGCTCTCACTCAAAGCGAATTGGAGATCAGCTGTTCCGCTCAAATTTCAAATAATCGCATCAGTATTTAAAAGCTGATTAATAATAATCGTTCTTTTTCTTTGCCACGATTTTATAATGCCGAATAAAACTAGATTTTTATCACTTTCCATTATGTTAACTTATAAAATGTCGAATGAAAACAGCTGATTTTGTTTGCTTTTGAAGACGGTTACTTTGATGCCGATATAAAGCCGTAAGTATAAACACTAGAGCGAAATGTGTACGGTGTCAATGCGCTTTCAATTAAGTCGATTATTCTGTGCGTATAAACGTAGTAATAGTTTCCTTAATTTTAAGAGCAAAAATTGTCCAACTCTAAACACTTACAAGAAAGCCGAATGCGACGATAAAATAAACTGTAAAATAGTAAATTTTCTCAATAATAAATTTTTCGACAGGAAAGTGTTTTTTTGTGTTAAATTGCAAAATATATGATTTGTAAAAATAATTAATAGCGAAAGTTAAAAAACGGCGATTTTTGTGAAGGTATTAGCAAATTTAGTGCATCTAAAGTTTCTAAGTCGTTGTTTATTTTTATTTGAGAATTGTCAAAATCGGTAAATCCCAAATAGCGGTTTCTGGAAAGTGCCACATTTGTTCGCCACATCGTGATGTGATAAAAAGAAAACCTGGCAGTACTCCGCACGGTTATAGAAATCTCTCAAAATATGTTCGAAAAATATCTTAATATGGAAGGAACTGCTTTACACTGTCAAGGAAAAAAAATTGCCAAAACTCAACGCTATTTTTAGCAACTTCAATATTGCACTTTATTAAACTAAAATTAAATTTTATTTTGCAGATTCTAATTAAAATGTTTGCAATTTAGGTGAAACCTTGCAGATTTTTTTAATTTTTGTACAAAGTTTGATTCAGAACCTGAGATCTACCACATTTTTTTGAAATCTACCGCATTTTTTTCAGATTCTACCACACAATTTTTTTTTAAGTCCGATCACTGTTTAGGACTCTTTTTTACCTGAGAAGCTTTCCATTGAGGTGGAACGAAACTAGATGAGAGAATGATGTTATAAATATAAGTCAGGGAAGTGATTCCTTCTGCCGGGAACTATTTCAATATTTCTCCAGTCATAAGATCGTAACCGGGAGCCTACTTAGCTTTGAGTTTCTTGATCGCTTCCTTAACCTATGTTTTTGAGAACTTTTTTATGAGTGGGCCTTATTTTAAAACAATGTTGTAAGTTTCTATTTAATAAAAATGGTCTATAGTCTTTAGTACATAAACTAAAAGTAATATATTTTTTTTGATCGTTTAAAAGTCTTACCGATTTCCGTATTACCTAGAAACTCCCAGCTTTTAGCTTGATAGTACAGCATGAAGTAAGCATCGACGACCAAGCGAACATAAGTCATCAGGAGGACTGCTATAGAAGATACGCCAAACGCTTGTTGAAAGTAATTAAACATCTCATGAATATGCTGGAACACTAACTGCTTCTCGGCCAACTTCCGACGCACAAAATCTTCAAAACCCGCGAAAGGCACCACGCGTCGCGCAAAGCATGTGTACTCTGCCAGTAGGCCAATGTCGTTACGCAACTTCTCAAGCTCGAGGCGCATAATTTCGATATGAAAAATTATTTGCATATTCCGTAGGTGTACTATATAAGTATACGGAGTAAACATGGCCCAAAATTGTAGAAGATGATCGTTTTTCTGTCGAAATATTAAGTAAACGATCTGTATTATCAAGTCGAATACCGTCACGCCCCAAAACATGTTAAGAAATCGACGATGTACACGCAATTGACTAGGCCAATTCCTTTCTCTGGATTGAGCACCTTCCATTGTATACTGATTTAACAGTGCGTACTTCTGCCAAAATCTTTGCAACGCACACCGACGAAATACCGTTTCTATGTAAATGATTGAGACAGTAAGCTGGGCTATGCACACCTTTAAGGCATCCACAAAGTAACCAAAACTTTCGGTGATGAAGAGAAATGCATGTGGTCGAAAAAAGGTGTTCACTGTCGTCAAGGAAAATACCAGCAAAAGTAGATTGGTCCAGGTGACAAGACGATGCTCAGCAAGCTTTTGCTCATTTGACTGGGTGCGCAGGGAGGCGTCGAAACAGCCGATGAATTGAAAGAGACGTATATAAAAACGCAGCACGCTGGGAATTCGATTAAACATGACGAAGTCTCAGTCGCGACTGTATTACGCAGCTGAAGAAAATATATGTACATATGTATCTAGATTATTTCCTGTCAATCAATCAAAAGACGGAGGAATTTTAAATTGGTTACTAAGTCAGATAGATGTTTAGATATTGTGTTAATTAATATACTCACGAAACTGTGGGCCATATATAGTAAAACAGCGTTTTTAGTTATTCTTTATGACATCAGGATATTTTTAAAGGACTTTGTTGTTTCAAACCAAATGAAATAGAAAATTCTGTAGAATTGAAAAATAAAATTTTTGGTTCACAAGGACGTACAGGTATAGAAAATGTATTTTAAATTAATTTTATTTTTTAAGCTAATAAAGTTAGACGCACGAAATTCGAGGATGTGGTCGACGGTATATTAGTACCTAACATAAAATTTTTTAATTGAATTTAATAAATCAATATGAATTTGCAAAATATTAGTACTTAGCAATAGAGAAGCAGATCCACATTAACTTCAATCATATGTATCATCAGCTTGCGTCTGATATTTTGATACCTACATATTTCATTTGCCTGATGAATTAAGTTAAACTTTATTTTTTAAATATGTAACAACGCTTCTAAAATTGCAGACAGGTGCCAACATTTCGAAATATAGTTCAGAAATACAGCCTTTTTAAACCCATTTCATTTGATACCTATATTTTTAATAATTGCTTTCACTTATTATATAATTTGAGTTTATATTTTTAAACAGGTGGCAACCCTTATCAATATTATTAATTTTCAAACTAAGGATACCTTACCCATCTTTGTTTCACGTCATGTTTTAATATTGCATTTAACTTATGCATACTTTAATTAAATTCTTATATTAAAACATATTTAAATTGTATATCTTATTCCCTTAATTCAAGTTGAATTTAATTTCTAAAAAATATGGCAACCCTCTTAAATAAAATTAAGAAAAAAACATTTTTAACGAATGTAAATTTATGCCCATACTTTAATAATTCATCTGACTTATTATATAATTTGAGTTTAACTTTTTAAACAGATGGAAACCCTCTTTAATGTTATAAATGCTGAACCCAGATTTTTTTTAATACTCCTGACGCCAATATTTCAATATTTCATATAATTTAATTTAATTCGGTTTTTCAAACAGGTGTCAATCCTGTTCAAATTATTTTTAAGCCAAAACCTCGTTAAACCTTTTTCGTCTGACACTTGTATTGTGATGCATGTTTAAATCATCTAATCCTCTTTTTTCAATTTAAATTTAATTATAAAATCAGGTGGCAACACTCATACATGCAGTTTGGAAATAAAGTTTCTTTAAAGCAACTTCGATTTATATTCACATTGAAGTAATTTATTAACCTATTGCTAATATTGAATCTGACTTTGTAACAAGGTGGCAACCCTCTGTAAAATATTTTCAAACCACAACCTCTTTCGCCTGACATCTGTATCAGGATATACATTTCAATTTTCTGCTTTTATTTAAGTCGAACTTGCTTTTTGAAACAGGTGGCAACCCACCTACATACAATTAAAAAATAAAGCCTTTTCAAAACCATTTCGATCGATACTCATACTGTAATAATTGATTTAACTTAAAAATAATTTGAATTTCATTTTTTGTCAGGTGGCAAGTCTTTTTGTAAAAATAGGAAGTTATTGTACATGTACAAGCCAAGTCATTTACTTTGATGCCTCATTTTGAAAAATCGAACGAACGGTAGAGGCCTGATATGCCGAAAAAATTTTCGCATATTATGCATTTATATGTACATAAATAGATTACTAAAAGAAAAACAGATCCACATTAACTGCAATCAACATATGTACGTATGTATGCATTTACATACATACGCTGCGAATAGTTTATAAATATAGCGTCATCTATTACTCAAAAGCCGAAATACCTACACATACATACATACTTTTTGTCTCCTTCTCTCCCTTCCAACGCATGCACGTGTTTGCAAAATGATGACGAAGTGATTTTGTATGGAAAATCATCTGTTTGAATAAAATAAACATATAGTCTGTTCCAATAGCAGTCCGGTTTACAGGATTTAGTCAGAACTTACAGGAAGTCGTTCCTATTGACATAAAACCTGTAAGTGGGAACACATTTGAGAGAGTAACTGAGCAACTGTTCCTAGTCAGAAGTTACAGGATTTAGTCCGGAGTTTTTTTTCCTGTAAGTTCATGAAAAGTGTCAAACGATCAGCTGATTTACATGTGCAAACAAAAACAGAAAGCGGTGAAAGCAAAGAACCTTATATTTGTTAAAAAATGGAAGTAAACAACGAAATATTTGAATATGTATAGATTTTAATAATTCTTCT